TAAATGCTGACATTGTAGCTTCAATATCAAGCTAGTAGTTTTTGCTCAAAAAAAAAAAAAAAACCCCAAAAACAAAAACAAAAAAAACCCTCAAGCTTGAATGGGTAAAAAGAGGGTCACTGGGAGGCTGGATTAGAGCCCTTAAATGTTGGATGTTCTGTAAATCAGTTAGAAGTGCCATGGACATGAAGCTAACTATCCTATCTTTTGCAAGCAGGCTTTTATAAGCTTGACCTGAAATGTGGCATATAAGTACTTGGTGGTATGGCTAGTTTGTGAATGCTGGGAGCTGTAGGACTGTACCTTAAACAAATGCAAATAAACACTCTAATCAATATATGATGACTTATATTCCTGTATATCATCAAAACTGAAATTCAACAGTGTCTGGCTTTTTCTCTCAAAATATCATAAAAGTGATCACATCCAACCTCATAATCAGTGTTGTATGTTTCATGCACATTTTTATTTCAAGTTACTTTTTCTACATTTCCATTCAAACAAATATTAAAGGTAGTTTACAATTGAATGATGCAATGAAAACAATAAAATGCAATCTAATCATCACCTGAGGCTGTCATACTTTGGGCACATCATGAGACGAAAAAACTCCCTGGAGAAGAGAATGCTAGGGAAAGTGAAAGGTAGAAGAAGAAGAAGACCAAGTACGAGATTGACTGACTCGAAAAAGGAAGCTGCAGCCTTGAAAATAGAAGAGCTGAACAGGGCTGTCATGGATGGGACATTCTGGAGGATTTTCATTTGCAAGGTTGCCATTAGTTGGAGACACCTTGATGGCACATAACAACAGCAGATCAACAAAAGGACAGAAAATGATAAAAAGTCAGCAATGATGCTGATGATAATGATCACGACAACAACAAGAACAGGAAAACAATCCTGAAATGTCAAGATCATGTAGGGGAGAAGATGATATTTTGGTGCTCACTTGATATAAATTTTGATCCTGGATAAGTATCATGCAGTAGGGATTGGCAAGAGATGGATCAGTATCTACTCTTGAATCTAGGGGTTAATTGCAGTAGACTGGCATGAATTTCTAACTCCCAATTGTTCAATAGCAACAGCAATGGCAAAAATACTTTCCCTATCATAAAGTAAAATACAGTAAAACCTTGGATTGCAAGTAACTTGGTCTGCGAGTGTTTTGCAAGATGAGCAAAAAGTTTTTTAAAATTTTAACTTGTGTGATGTCCTGCAGTACGAGCATTACGCACGCTTTGCCCGCCGAGCATCACGTCACAACTGAGTTCCGGTTCTTCTCTCTCTCACTGCGGGTGTGAATACAGCATTATCTCCCCGCCAAGCGCGCCCGAGATCATGCCCGCCTCCCCCGCAAGCACGCCCACGATCGTGTCCGTCTCCCCTCCATCCCCGAGCACGCCCGCTTCAAATTTTTGTGATTAAAAAAAAAAGTTACAGAGCAGATTAACCTTATTTACATTGAACCTTATGGGGAAATTTGCTTTGATATACAAGTGCTTTGGATTTCAAGCATGCTTCCAGAATGAATTATGCTTGCAATCCAAGGTTTTTCTGTACTGAAAGGAATTACTTTTCAAATGGAAAGACTGTGTACTTCCTTCAGTACAGGAGCTCAGAATAATTTACTGCTAAGTCTTAGAATTAGTTGACAGAGCGCAGTATAAAGATGAAATCAGAGTGAAATAGAAAAAAGTTAAGGTAATAAACACCGTCCTTATTTTCTTGCATTTGAAGTTTGCATTTCAATGTGTTAATCAGCAATGATTATGTTATCCCCCAACAAGGTCTTGTGAATGGCGATAGTTAAGGTAATGACCACATGTCAGTAATTTTTTCATTGTAATTCCTTCCAACAACTCTATTTACAACTCCCTGGCCCTTGCAGAGATATCTAGATCAGCCAATTTCAAACGGACATTTTCTGCATCGAATGAAGTGGTCGGCATTCATAAAAGCATATGAGAGAATAAGGGCACACTCCTACCAATATCTAGACAGAAAATGGTAATTGGTATTGGGAAGAGCTGCATTTTCCCATATATCAAATAGTGCTGGCAAAACTGTAGCATCTCCACAATAGAAGCAACAGCATATGGAAAAAATCTGGACTACTTCAAACTATTATTATTAGATTATTATTATCTTGCCCTTTTCCTTTTTAAAGGGCTCAAAGTGGCTTGCATCATTCTTTTGCTCCTGCCGTCATTCTTATCCCTACAACAACTTTGTGAGGTAAGCTGGGATGAGAAACTGTGACTGGCCTAGTTGGCTCCATGACTGAGAGGGGACTAGAACCCAGGATTGCCTGAGTCCCAGTCCCACACTCTAAACTATTACAACATAATGTCTCCAGTGAAAAACTAGTAACAACTGGACATTTATTGGGCTAAAACTGTAAATACAGAAAGTCGTGTGAGTCTTGCCATATATGTGGCAACTGCAAGCTTGACATTCAATATGCATAACTGGTTAGAGTGCTGCACTATCACGTGGGAAATCTGAGTTCTAATTCCCAATCAGCACTGAAGCTTTCTGGATGACTCAGCCTAACCCACCTCATAGAGTTGTTATTGTGAGAATAAAATGAGGAGCAGTGGAAGGCTGACATAAACTGCATTGGCTTCCTTGCAGGAAAAAGGAAGTAATAAACTATGGAGCGTTACAAAGAATTAAAAATGTGGTAATTAGTTTTGCTGATTTACTGCTATGATTAATTATGATCACTTTTCATGGATTTAAAAAAGATTTTAAAATAATTTTGCCACCAGAGGGCAGAAAAATACAGACAACAAAAATGTAATCTGCAGCATTCATTACTAAGGCTGTTAGTATGGGCCATCTGAATTGATTTTCAAGCCATTTCTAGAACAAACCAGTTAGAAAGACAAAGGTACAGATATAGATACAATTGTCAAGGTTTCTCTTCAGATTTTATACATTGTCAAGGTTGATTGAAATAGATACTGTGCAATAGAAAGTAAAAATATGTCTGCTCTGGCCCATTGGACAGAAACCTGCAGCTTAAGGATCTAAATCAGGCATTTCTCAGACTATAATGCCCACCAAACGAAGTGAATAATCAGATCAACAGGGCCATACTAATACCTAGGAACAATGTAGATAATATATTAGAGGACAGAGAAGAGAAAATAACAGAACATTGCTTGCTTCACCTATAGGTAGCCGTATCATCAGTGATTGATAACCCATCCTGAACAATGCTTCCTTTTTTCCAGCCCTGGGTGGTGGCCCTGTAATTGTTTCAGATAGCCACTCAATCTAGGAAACATGCTCAGTACCAAGAACAGGCCTCTCAATGCAGATACTGACGCAAGACCAGACTGTGTAGCAGACACATGTGACAACTCTTTTCACAAACCTGCCTTGCCAGGACTATAGAGGACCTAATAAAGCCATCCACACACTTGCTCATACTCTGATGTGCTCCATGCCATCATTTGCCAGCAATGACCAGCACTCTCCACAAACAGCTCAGTCTCTACAGAAAAGAATAAATGGACAAAAATCTGATATAGGAAAACACTGGGGAAATGTCAACAAAAGACTCTGAAGGCAGATGCCGACATAAAATTGCTCAAATACAGATCATTCCAGGTGGACTAAACTATGCATGTTTAGACAAAAACCCCTACAATCCTTTTGCCAGAGGAAAAGAAAAGCAAAACAGTACAATAACTACTTTCACGGTTACCATGCACAAGACTTTGTTGGGTGATAACACAACAGTTGCACTGGTAACCCTAGCTGGCTGGAGAATGCTGGCAGTTGTAGGATTTTGCTTATCAAAGCATGCATAAGATTGTGCCCTGGGAAATTCAATACCATTTACTGTGGATACACAGGTTTTTGCTTTGT